TTACGTATTGAGGGTTTAGTTTTGGTTTGTGAATATGAAAAACTATTTTTAATCAAATTTCGGTATTTACGTATAAACATTTTCTTCACTTTTTCTTTTTTAATTCATAAAACACATTAAAAAATAATCTAAATTTATACGCACTTTCCAAGTTTTGGAAAGGGGGAAGAAATGATCATGTAGCAATGGTGAAAGGGGGTACATGAGGTAAAAGAGGCTGAGAACGATGGCTCTAGCTTAACGATTATCTTCTAACTTTGCGTAATATTTTGCGCAATTTTGTGCCCACTATTGCTTGTACAATGCAAAAAGTCTTGTATAAACGTATCACTTTAAATTATAAAATTAGCTAAAATATTAAATTTATCCTTAAAATTATGAAATTTTAATTCCCGAAATTAATCCTTTTATTATTTATGTACCCCTGATAAAAAAACTAATGTTTTAATTTTAAGTAAAACTAATTTATTTCCAAAGCTTTATTTTATTAAAATTTTCTTGAAATCAATGACTAAATTTTATTGGAAAAAATTACATTTGTTCTGAATTCACCCTTGTCTCCTTGTTATAAATCATTACAAAATTTTACAAAGTTAAAAAATCTTATTCAGAAATGAAACTTTAATTAATTTTTTAATTCCAAAAAAAATATTTTTCTTCAATGAATTTTTTAAAAATTTTATAATGCTTTTAAATACTCAAAAGCTTCTGTAAAAATTTCATGGAAAATTAAAGCAAGGAGACGTGTCTGGAATGCTTAAAGATTAGGGTCCCATTTTCTATAAATGTCTAATTCTGTTAGTTAATTTTGTACACATCATATAAGATTCTACCCGTGGGACCTTTAGAAATATTATAGACACTTTTATATAATCTCAGGACAAATATGTACACATTATATATCTACACATATTCCTCTAGAATCTCTATACATAATTGTGTAGAAGTTACATCTAAAAATTTTATAGAACTCTATAGAAGATCTGCGATTTTTGTTTGTAGAAAAAAAAGGGGGGGTCATAATTCTTGAGGATTCTAAAGAAGTTTACCATTTTATTCTTTATAAAATTTTATAAGATATTTTCGTAAGGGTTGTCATGAAAATCTTGGTGCAGATTGACAGTTAAGAGAAAGGGGTACGTGTTTTAAAATAATTTCTATGCGTCAAAATCGTTCAAAAAAGTGTAAACATATATATGAAGTAATACTAATTATTAATGGGATAAGTTTATTTTCCTATTTACAGAAAGAGTCACTTAACGTTTATTAAAAAATTACCCAATGTTTTGAAATTGGGTAGTTTTTCTGTACAAAGTTTATACACGTAATCTTGGGCTTTAGTTTTATAGTCTAGGATAATCTTTTGAATTTTCGACGCTATAAAACAAGAACTTACATCATGTGAGCAATCTGGGAACGCCGTAACTCAGGCTTAATAACATGAACCTTTCATTGCCAATAAACATAACTGTAAAATTACAAGGTGATACCTATCGTAAATACCAGATGAGGCAGGCGTGGAGACTATTAAGGTTCCTCCTTGTGACCTGAAGATTTGCTGTAATAAGGGCGAATGATTTATAGCTATTTTTACTCCTGCAATATTTCATGCATTTTTATTTTTATTTTAAATTCTAATTTAGGTTTGAAATAAGTTTTAGTTATTTCAAGAGGCTACGTTTCTTTTCATCGTAATGAGTTCCGTTTCTTGAAATTCTGAGAAAATTCGAAAATCTTCAGCTTCCATTAAACATCGATTACCGAAACGTTTTAAAAACAGAAATTTTACGGGATATATTTTAATTTCTTATGAGATGAGTTTGTAATATTTTAGCATGCGAATTTCACAGCTGTATCAATAAATTTCAATACCGCAGATAAATACCCCGATATTGCTATTTTTTAATACTATTTATAGTACTTTTACAATTATACCTTATTTATATTTTAATTTTCATCGCCTGTCAATTTTAATAAAGACAAGTATCTCACTGCTCGAACATCAATACAATGTTGACAGTACCTTCCTTACCTTATGTGTTTCGAAAATGCATACTTTTGGTTAGAAACAGAAACACCTGAATTCGCTTGAAGTTGATGCTCGCATTTTAAGTATTTCAAACGAATCACCTGCAAATTAAACTATTTTACAACTACTAATAAATTTTCTCTTCTTATGTGTTTGAAGATTAAAATAATCAACACGTTCTCGAAATCATTTCTATTTAAAATTAAGCTATGCATATCCTTTTCAGTGTTCGAGATAGTTTAAAGTCCAAATATTACTTAACTTAGAATACACTAGACCAGTGTTTTTCAACTGGATTTACTCCAAGGACCTGTAAAATATTTCGGTACGTTCTCGCGGACCGGGTAAGTTTAATATTTCGACTCATTGGCACAATTTTTTCACATAAATAAATCATGAAGACAAAAATAATTTTTAAAGCATTTTATTTTATTACATTACTTTTATTTAGCATTTGCTATAATTTACATATTGTTACGTTATTTTCTTTCTTCACGTTCGTACGGGGTTCGTAGATTTGGAGTGAATAACGACGACACTTGATGAAGTATCGAAACACACTTTATTTATCAATATTAATCAGGACAGCTCCAAAACACTTTTACAATCTTCGAAGATCTACTATAAACACGCTGAAACAATTAGCGACACAGTAACAATTGTCAGGCAATAACGGTGGAAACAACTTCACTGGAAAGCACCAGAGTACAGCTCCCGATTCTACTCGGTCGTTCTCGGAACTCCACGTACTTACGAGACTCCACGCTACAATTCGCAATGCACTCGACGACACTCAGAGCACAGTTCCCGACTCTTCAGTTCAGTCGTTCCCGAAGCTCAACACTCTCTCTTGACGATGCACTAAGAGACGCTTTCGGTGCACTCGACGACCCACTCGGCACTAGCTGCCCGGCTGTCAACTCGATCGACTCTGCAGGGATTGACTCGCTAGACGAGACACCAACTCGATATTAACTAACTCACACTCTAGTCGAGGCACTCTCTATCAGCACGCTAGGCGAGGCACACACTCTAACTGACTGCGGACCAGCATGGTTTATATAGCTTTCGGCTTGTATTCGAGAACATTCTGGGCTAAACCGGTAAGAATTCTTTCCAGAAGGTTCTCCATTCGTCCATGGTATATCGCCAATTCTGTCGCCAAATGGGCGATTTATGGCCAAATGTGGCAACCATGCCTTTTCTTGCCATTTTATGGCAATCCTAAAACTGCTTCGCGGGGAAGCAATCTTACCGCGCCTGGACATTTTGTAACTATATGTACATTCATCTTACTTAAAATATTGCATCGAGAATAAAACTACCAAACCTAACTAAAACTCCAAGAAAATTTCAATATGAATAATATATTTATTTATTTTAGTTAATATATTAGCAAAAACAACAATGAATCGAAATGTAAACAGCGTAGGTAGCTACAAAAAAAAAGCAAAAAATAATTTACCAAATTAAAGGAAATAAAAACTAAAATCAATGAGATTGCTGCTGTTTCTTTTGCTGACTCAATCCTAGGCGTTACACCAGTTACAGCAATACTTAGAGCAGGCACAAGAGCAAGTCGATTTCGATGTTTCGTCTTAATAACAACCATAACTGAAAATGTAGTTTCATACAAATAAGTTGAGGAAAAAGGCAGTAAAATGTTCAACGCCTTTGGATTTTGGAAGATAGCTAAATATTTCGCGGAGCGCCAAATATTTCTTGCGGACCGGTGCCGGTTTATGGACCGGCGGTTAAGAAACAATGCACTAGACAACCCATTTGACAATCAATATTTTCTCGAAATCATTTCTATTTAAAATGAAGCTATGCGTATCATTTTCGATGATTCAAATATTATTGAACTTAGACTAAGTCAGGCAAGCTATTTGTTGTAAGTTATTAAACTTCATCTACAGAGTACATGATTAAAAGATTTTTTTCTTAATAATTTGCTGGAGACTCACTCATTTTATTAATTATATATTATTAATTTTCAACAATTATGATATGTCAACCTAACTATTTATTCCGTAGAGTTCTTTAGATATATAGATGGCTTGCTTCAGAAGGTTGTAAGGTTTTACTTTATTCTAACCAGTTATTTTTAGTTCCTCCTGATTAGAGTTTACTGCCGGAATGTAAATTTCGTATGACGTAGATGTAAATTTTAAACATGTTTCAGAAGCAGTATTTAAGCTGCATTTTAAGAGTTCAAAAGTAGTAGAGAATGTTGTTCCGATGTTTATGCTGCGAGTTTAAAATTAGCTCTCTATTTCGGTGTTCGACAATTTTCAGTTTATACTGATATTTCTCTGCTCGGCTTTGCTGTGTGCAATCGATTTAGCGTTAGTCAAGCTAAGGAGTCAGTGATTAGAGTACCTTAACTTACTATTAACTTTTTACATTCTTATTTTCTGTTGCATAGCCACAAGTGATGGTGATTTACGAGTACGAAATGTGTGCATCTGTTTTAATTCATATTTAAATAAAAAAATGTTATTTAAACCTTTCATCTGCAGTATTTATTCTTAAAGACATAGCGAGAATTCGCTACTTAGTCTTCGACATAGGATTTAAGAGTGTTTGCTCCCAAAGGATATACGAAGACTCTATAAGGTGACAAACTGTTCTATACTGTAGGGTCTTATATATCTATTCAAAAACCATTGGTTTGCATTGTGATTTTCGAATGTGACTGAACGCTTTTTAAAAAGTCCTTAAATAATCTTCCTTTAAATAACAGTTTCTCTTTTTCCTAATTTTTATGATTCATTTTTTAAACAGTATGATTATATAATTCATTATGTGACCTTTATTTTCGCAACAGAAAAGGCCATTTATTGATGATACAAGAATCCAGTTTCTGGTGAATATGCATAAATATCAAGTAATAACTGCTGTTTACTTTTTAAAATAAAAAATAATTGAAATTAGGAAGAAATTTTTTTATTAGTATAGTGAACAAGCATTTTGTTTGCAACAAATCTTTTACTCATTATTTTAATAGCACATATTTTATATACAATAAATATTTTAATTATATATTAATTCAGTTTTATTTTATAGCTATTTATTTTAAGCATACTTAGGCTTCACATTCCAACTTTAACGTTCTTAGAATATTTTTAATTGACAAAGGCATTATATACGACGAAATAAAAGAAAGTCTGCCCACTGTTAACGTAATATTTCTTTCAAGTGCTTCACGAGACTCATCTTATTTCAGCCAGTAAATATGGACAAAATTCCTTCTTTGATGCCATTTAAAATTCCTTTATCTAAAGAAATGAAAACGTATAATATATATATACGTATATAATGGATTATTTATAAAGAATAAAATTCAGAAATACATTAATTGAAAAAAGTAAACTGGCAATTAAATCCTCATCATAATTTTTAATAGTTGTAGAAACTATTAAAATTAAAAGCTAGTATTTCTCACGACTAAAGCACGAAAACTCAACTCCGCTATATCAGGGAATCGAAATCCGGATCTTCCAGTTGCCAGATGAATATGCTAAGCAGCACAAGCGTATGCGTTGGAGGCTTTCCATAATTCTTTACCCAGCTTTTAAATTTGTTTGAAGGCAAACAAGCAACTCCATTAACAAATAAAAGATGTGAAAATAAACTATTACAAGCATTGAAACTTTCGCATTTTCAATGTTTAACAAGCCAAACACATGCTTGTTAAACACTGAAAATGCCCGAACTCACTGTCATTTAGTTATCTAATCACCGACTTGGGAGGTATGCATAGACCGACCGATATTACACTTGCGAAGAAGAGAAGAAGATTCTTGGTATTCAAATTAGCTGTCAGTTACCGTTAACCCTTATATAATGCAGGGTGGCAGTGCGAAACAGTGTACTCATAGGATTATTGCTGAAATATAAAGAAACACTATTTTAGTGAATATAAGAACAACAAAAAATTTTCTAATCATTCATTTAATGATAAGTTTTGGGATTATGGTCAAGCATGAGAACTATTTCCGTAGGAAAGGGATGTCTTTATGGTGGACATTTTAAGATAATTGGCCCATACATACATGACACTTTATCGTTTAAGGGGGGAAAATAAAAATATATGATGAAAGCTATTTTAAAGAGTCTCGATAAAACTTGTAGAGTCATTAAGTTATTTTGAAGACATGGAAAATGAACAATGCCCTCATCGGGCAAGAACCTGGACCTCTCGAATACAGGCCGTTATACCACGAAGGCATGCTGGCAGGGAAGAGAAAATACCCCTCGTACTGCACCCTCTCAAGGGGCAACTGGGGATTAGGGGATCCAATCGCCAAATCCTTGCGGAAACAAATTATTTCACCACCTTTTAGTTCGGTCGCCACTGTAGAATCATTAGAATTTTTGATGCTGGATACGTGAAAAATAAGTAATGCCTTCGCCAGACTCGAACCTGGTCCTCTTGAATACGCGTCGAGTTTGCTACCGTTACAACATGAAGGCATACGAAAAGGAGGGAGTAAATACCTCATAAACTCAATAAATAATTACATGCTCTGAAAAGTATCCTAGCCAACCTTTTCACTCACTAAAGTAAAAAAAAAAAAAAAAAGCCAATTGTTTATTATTGTTTGTTCAATAAACCGTGCCAGCTTCTAGTAAATAGTTAAAGAGATGTATTTATGCTTTATTCTCTTACCAGCTTTGTTATAAAATTTTGAAAATATTTTAAATAAAAAAAGATAAAAAAGCAAAGGATAATTTTTACAAGGGAACCAAATGAAAATAGCAGGAAAATGCGAAGCGATTGCCGAGCTTTTCTGAATATTACCGAATGAAGTGTTAATAGCGCCGTTTTACGATAGAAATGTTGTGTAAAGGGATGCCGGATCATCGGTTGTGCTTACCAATTGGATGGCAGACTATCGGATTTTCATCATATTGTAAAGACAGAGAATTCTCATTTTCTGCTTGCATGTGGGTAATAAGGCTTACAGCTTTTAAGTGGTTTAAAAAAGAACGACAAGGTGAATACTCGGAAAGGTACTTTCCAATCAAGCCTTAACATTACAAGGCCAGACATTCCATTATGCGCTAGTATAAAAGGGTGTGAACATCGAATAAAGAGCATCTTGCACTGACATCTCCCGGGGAGGTAACAAATATCGTGAAACAGCTCAAGATCAAAAAAGCCTCCAGTATCGACAGAATAACAAATGCGATGATCAAAAACCTCTGCATTTCCAAACTCAAAGCCTGCCTGGCACAAGCATACTTTCCAACCCCATGGAAAACGGCTATGATCACATGCTGCCAAAACCGAAAAAAAGATGCATCCAAACCAGAAGTATATCGCTTAATCAGTCTGTTATCCGGTCTCAGCAAAATTTAGGAAAAAAATCTTTTTCCACAGACTTCAACCTTTCTTGAAGTTACTCCCAGGCGAACAGTTTGGCTTTCGCCGTAACCTGTGTACTGCGAAACAACTGGTCAGAATTTTAGAATTTGCAGGCTCTGCAATTCGTAATAAAAGATGTGTGGCACTTCTATTATTCGATGTCTCAAAAGCTTTTGATAGAGTATGGCATTACCGATTAATTTACAAATTAATACAGCTGATTATTGATAGTGACATTATTAAGCTCATTTTTTTTCGTTCCTAAACGAAAGAAGCTTCGTGGTTAGCCAAGGCAAACATTTCTCCTCACAGCGACCAATCAGAGCCGGTGTACTACAGGGCTCCATTATTGGACCAATCCTCTACCTACAGTACGTGTATGACTTTCCAAGACCAGGAGCTGACCCAAATTACTTCCTCGCATGTTATGCGGATGATACCGCAGTAGCGGTAAAATCGGCAAACCCATACCATGCACTTCGAAGGCCACAATCTAAAATTATGGATATTGAACACTGATGTCACAAGTGGTGGATTTCAATAAATGCCGCAAAACCGCAATTGCTTCTTATTTTAAAGCACGAGATTTGTAAGTGCATAGACCGCGGAATTATTCTTTCAACGAAACTGTGCCACGAGTCAAATCCGCTCGTAGCAAAGTGAATGGTATTATTCATAATTTGTATCCTCTCCTTCGACGAATCTCTGAAAATTCGCCCCGTTATCACCTACGCATCTCCTGCCTGGGTCTCTCTCACACCTATGATCACGAAAGATCTTCAAACCCTGAAAAATAGAGTGCTGCGAATTATCATGAATGCACATCACGGGGTAAGCACGGACATCCTGCATAATGATCTTAAAATCCTCAAAGACTTTAACGAAAGCTTCTTCCAGAAAGCTACAATCTGTCACACAGTCAACTATTTATCTATTTCAACTATTCTTCCAATATGAAATACTGGAAGAGGTTAGGAGACTACGTCCCTTCGTCGCTCATCTCTTGGGAGACGAAAATTTTATAACTTAGGGGACATAAACTGCGCATAATTTTCAAATCCTGATTATGAATACTGTAAATAGTGTATATAGTGTTCATTTCCATTTATTTCCTTCTTTCTTCTTTTAGTACTGAAAATTCAAATTTTACTTATTTTGTGCCATCTTGTAAGTATCAGCATTAGTTTTTGTTCACCGTCACGTGACCTCCGAGAACCAATGGAGACTAATTCCTAGCTCAAGCTTCGGATTTGCTTTTGTAGCCACTTGGCTGCTTTGAAACTCAAGTACTCAGGGTCAAGCTCCTGCCAATGAACCTGCCTCCTAATTAAGCCTCACTGGATTCGACCCTAAAAATCCATGTTACCACTGCGTTCTCTCTGGGTGCTCTGGTTCTCTCTGGGTTCTTCTGGTTCTCTGGGTTTTCTTCTCTCTGGGTTCCACAAAGAGTACTCTTCCCGGTAGCTCATGATTACCACCTTTGTCACCACTTCTCCGCTCTCGCTTATCTCGATCGCCATAAATATGCCAAAATCAAGTGCCGTTTTGTGGCAGTAATTTCAACTGAGCTGGTAACATCGCGTTTCGCGCGATAATTCAGAATTTGTATTGGTACAAAGAGCATCATCATTTCTTCACATCAGAGGTTGACCAGCGTCGTTGTGCGATATATGATTTTTCGGTTACAGTCGGAAACATCGCGGAGAAAACAATGCAAGGCGAAAACGTCGTGATAAAAAAAATAGTGGGAGAAAAGAAAGCAAAGAGAAAATTTCACAGTTCAGCTCGTTCGCTCTGCCAAAATACCAGTGTTCAGCTAGTTTACCGCTCGGGCACTGGTGCCGATTCAACAAGGAAATATTAACAGAAACTAGTTATTTTTACATCAGTCATTTGAAGATTCAAATTAAAAATGATAAACAGAAAATTTAAAGGCAGATTTTTTTTTTCTTTTTTTTTCCCAGAAATAATATATATTTGCAGTCGACCCTTTCAAAAACACTTGTATCTCTCTAAGACGGCCAGTGTTTCTGATGACAGAAATAATCATACGTTTCATTCCTTATGTAAGATGACCGACCGTATTCACGCAAGATTGAAATGATGTAAAATCTCGAGCGGTCGCTTTAAAGATGATTTGCCGGTTATTTTTTTAAACGTTCGGTTAAAGAATCAATCATATATTTCTTACTGCAAAAACGTTTTTGAAGCCGTAGATGTTAGATATATTATCAATTATTGCTTAAGGGGCTGCACACAGTTCTAAATTTACTTTTGTATAAATCTATTTTTTCTAAAGATTAATATGCAGGTAACCGACTTTGTGAAGAGAGATGAAGAAAAACAGTCATGCGGGCGTTTGTCAGAGAATCAGAAGCAACGGAGAATCAACGAAAGAGATTTCAAAAAGTTGGAATTGGTCAAAATCAAGTACTTTTAATCATCATACCCATTTTATTTATTAGTATAGCTCTTACGTTTTTCACTTCTTCGTATTTATGTGCGCATTTCATTATTTATATAAACTTAAGCTTTATTCCTTAAATACATTAAATCGAAAAGCAAATTTGTATAATTGTTGTGTATAAAAGACTGAAGATTAAATTTTTAAAGTTATTTTGACACATTAAAACATGTTTCGGGAAAACCTGTAAATTTCCCTTAACGGTCTAAAGTGGTATTTAGAAAATAAACGCACATAGCACAATTTTGAAAATGCATAGTTTTAAATTTATATAATAAAAAAATTACTTAATTTTGGAAAATCGTGTTCCTCAGATCCAACGTATTTTCATTCTCAGTGACAAAATTTGAAATTAGGATGTTTTATAACATGTATAATAGGAAATTTCGCCTTCTTGATCGAATACAGAGGGTTTCTTATCACCCGAATTATAACTTCCTTTATTTATATATATTTGAGAAGTATTAAAACACTATAATACTGATATTTAAAAATGTGTAGCACCTTCATTTCATAAGCGGGATTAAAAGTAGTATAAAATAATACAAATTAATTGTATGTTGTTTAGTATCCCTTAATTCTGTTTCTGTTCAAAATACTATGTGGCTGAAAGTACGAGTATGTTGTCCTTCAAATTTTTATTTGAGTTCTGAATTTGACTTTATGAATATAATATTACGTCATACTAACATTGGAAATATTGGAAAATTTGGATTGAATATTGGATAACTGGATATTTAAATAAAGAATCATTAACATTGCAAAATTTGGGTATTTAAGCAAAGCTGCATGCCAGACTTTTTGAAAATGAAAATATTTTTCTTTTTGGTCGAGTTTGAATTATCTAGCTGATATGAGGCAACATAGAGGACTTAGTTTTCAGAAAATGAACATTACTGGCAACAATTTTACAATAATATTATACCATTAGGCGTAATTAATCTAAGAACATAAGCATTATTCATGAAAGTAGCATTATTTCCTAATTGTCGATCATCTGTGAGCGAAATATCCGTTTCGCAAATTATTTGTTCATTGTTCTTCAAAAAGCTCTCAGGTTATTAACAAAGGCAAAAAATTTTATGATTTTTTAGAAGATTTTTGTTTGAGTACGCACTGAATCGTAGCCGGAAATGTACTTAAAAGATTATCATTCAATTGGTGTCTGCCGTCTGTAAGGTGAGACGGGCAGCAGCTCAGCAAATTGTCTTTTGCTGTCGTCGGAGGTGAAATTTGCCTGACAGTCCCACCTCCTGTCTAATATGGTTGCCTTGAGGTTTTAAGTTTGGGTCGGACCCGATTCTGCACCTATCTGAGATCATGATACAGGCAGTTTTTAAAAGTAATAAAATCAGCAGATAGAGACAAAATATCTTGGCATAAGGAGAATGACGAACACATGGGCAGTGACGCAGACTCCGAAATTTCCGCGCATTCAAATTTTTCAAATAGAACAGTTTACGATGTATGCAAAGAATCAGGAATGGATCCCGAAACAGCGCCTCAACTGTGGCAAACAAATTAACTGTGGCAAACAAATTAACTGACAAATTAAAGCAAAACATCCTATCGGCCGAAGAAATAGCGGATATTTTCTCCATTTTTAAAGTTTTTAATCTCACAAAAAATATTACTATAATTGCGCAGAAAATTAAGCGAGAAAAAAAAGTTACAGACAAGATGATAAAAGCCAATTCAAACTGTGGAAATCATAATGAAATTTTCAAAAGAGGATTAGTTACCAACTTTTTCATCAAGCCCAGAAAAAAGGCTGAAATTTTTTCATATTATGGGTTCGGGCTTCAGCCCGATTCAGTTTTCTCTCACTTATCATGTGCTATTTTTGCCTAGCCAAATATGGTTTTTCCTCCTGTTTTTGTGTGTAACGTGTATACGAGCCAGTTTCCCTTAGAAAGTCCTCCACGAAGGCATCCCTCCTCTTAGGCAGATAGCCCCCGAGGCTTTGCCGTAATCACACACACACACACACCCTCCTGTTTTTGGCAAGATACTGCTCTGTAAAGCGGACTTTCATTTTCTCATTTATATGGCTTTAAGGGTTACGAGATTTATAGTGGTTAGTCCTCATCATTTATACGTCCTCATCGGTCGTAAACCGCTTACAAAGTGACGATTTCCGATACTAGGATCATTTTTCGCTTCTGGAGATAACTGGAGTTCGCTTCGTGGAAATGAGTTTCCGACCAACAGCATTAGACTATAATGTGTTAAAGAGTTTTATTTGATGATTTTGATTGTTACTAGTTTTCGTTGTATTTAAATAATTATATTCAGAAATTGAATATTAATAATATTCAGAAATAAAGTTTTTGTGCCCTTAATTTCATACTTTTGATTTTCGTGATAAGTGATATTACAATATATTTATTTTGAAATGGAAAGGGCTTAGAATTTCCAGAACGCTAGATTTATGTTATACTAACTTTCTTCTGGTACACATTCCTCTTTTGACTTTGCTCCCATAGTCTCCGTCGTCTTGCCTTCCTCACATTTCTCACACTCGTGCTTCCCGTAGCGTTCTTGGTAAAATCCGACACTACACATGTCACATGTCAGGCTATTAGCCTTGCTATAAGTGCCTGGGTGGCAAGGAACTGAAATATAAAACAGCTATCACTAAAGAGCATATGACTGCGTCACATCATATGATTGAAATATTAATAAAATTTCCTTCATCTAAAGAAAAAGGAATCTTTAGATTTCGTGACTGTATTGGCTACTAAGGTATTAAAATACGCAGAAAATGTTTTCGCGAAGAATTCATAATTTAGAAATTAAATTCGTTTCGCAGAATACTTAGAATTTACGTGCCAAATAAATATAGCTCAGCAGTAAGAAAAAAAATGTGAGAATTATTTACTTATTTTTCTCATAATCAGTGACGATCACGAGTTTTGAAGATGGCGTTTAAAAATGCTTCTTTTCATTTCACACTTTTCTGCAATCATTGTGTAAGACAAGCGGTAATTTATATTTTCGCCTCTCCTGTTCTCCGTTTCTCAAAGAAGTGAAAGTCCTCTTCAGATTACTTTCAGCGCAAATAATTATCTGCCCTATTTTCATAATTAAAATTTCCTTTGTTCGGTTTTGTAATAGTAGCTCGTCTGTTAATATGAATATAATCTTAAAAACAGGAATAAAATTAAATTTCATTAATAATACAGTGAACACTATCTAAGACAACTACCGTGTTTACTTGAGTAATAATCGCCCTCGCATTACAGTCGCATCCCCGTTCTGAAGCAGAAAAAATTGTCAAAAGCACGAAGCATTATGTAGTACATTTCCCCGCATAATAGCCGCACTTTCACAATGAAAAATTGGCGAAACAAAGAGAGACTATTACGCGAATAAACGCGGTATTCGCGGTTCTACATGACTTGGGTTTTGTAGAAGTGGTCGCATTAGAAAGATGATATTCAATATACTTTTAAGTTCTCTGAAATCTCTCATCTCACTGATCACTTTCAGAAATGTTCGTCTATGCAAGTGGTCGGCACGAAAGAGTTCATTGTAATTAAGTGTGAAATTTGGCAGGCTATTCTTTTGCCATTTTATTGCATATATCAAAGTTGTAATGAAAGCAGTGTTGAGAAATAGTGCTACAGAATTTGATGATAGAGTTTTAAAATAATATGAAAATTTTCATTTCATTTTATGAATATATTCATTATCCATTTAAAGAAGACAGGAACTTATATCAGCACATTCAGGTTTAATTTTATCTGAAGAATTCAGAGCAAAGAAATTGCAGTCCATTTCAAAAAGATCTACTTGCGCTCCGCAGTCACCCTATAAACCTTACTATACCGAATCTTTTTTATTTGTTTCTTTGTTTCGCACATTTTTCATCTTTGTATTACTAAGAGTTTTTCCAATATTTTACGATAATAGTCTCTCCCCTCCATGCAAAGAATTATATTGCTAATAAATAATAAACTTATCTGCTATCATAAGTTGTTGCCTAACTAAATACAGGGTGATCCAAAAGTCACGTATATCAAACTTTCAAAACAGTGAAAATTCCAAAATGGATATTAATGCCTAATTGTTTCAATAGATGACACTCATATCCTGTTACAAGTAATATATGTAGGATGTAGTTGTATTTACGAACTATAGGAACAGTTCTGTCAATGACAACGCTAGTAACATTTAGTAATTTAATGACGAAAACACGCAAACATAATTAACACGAAAATAACACATAAAAAGAAATAAGAAGAAAAATGTCTGTTCATGGCATGAAAGAAACGAAATAATATGATATCATATCATATTAAGAGGAATCACATCATAAAATAATTCAGAGTTCTTTTAATTTTTTAAACTTCATCCTCATTTCCCGTCTAGCGTCTCGTCTGCCGAAAATGGTCACGTGATCTTGCTGGTGAGGGCGTTGCCATTATTACTTATAAAAAGAAGCATATCTCCAAACGGTCATTCTGCACGGCTGGTTGAAGGAGACAAGAGATCTGCGGGAAAAAAAATGCAGAAAAAGTGAGAGAAAAAGTCAGTGTCATGGTGGCGAATGTACCGTTTCATGTTATCAGCAGAGGTTGACGTTATAGTAGGGCCTTCATGCCGTCCTATCATTCGTACTTCGTAAGGATCAGATGGATGAATTTTCGTTGTCTCACAAGAACCGAAGAATTTGGGATGAAGTTTCAGTCCAGGTCGAAAGTGGATGCGTTGTATTGCCACTTGGTCTCCGAACTTGTACTTACAGGCAGGTTTGCGACGTTTATTATATTGTCTTATATTTTCTTCCTGTAAACAGAGGATGTTTCGTTTAGCTTCGATGCGTAATGCGTCTTTTTGATCAAGAATTCTTTGTTGGTGTTCCTCGTCAAGAAGTTGTTTAATCTGCAAATCCTCTTGTTGCTTCATTTTGACATCAGTCAATAATAATTCAAAAGGTATGAACTTTATACTGCGTGTGGTAGTACTGTTTAAGATTCGTTGCAAACGCGGGACGTACTTAAGTCATTTGTCAGGTTCGTGGAAAGTTAGTTTCAAACTGGCATAATAGTTCAATGAATACGCTCAACCTGACCTTATCACGCGGTGCACACGTTGTTATTGAGATGTGTTCAATCTACTGCTCTTGGTAATAATTTTGAAATTCGGAAGATGTGAAAGCACTACCTTTGTTTGTGATGATTTCTGAAGGGTTGCTGAGTGTAGTTTGTTGCAGGGATAATTTGCCTAAGGCATCTGTAGAAGATGTAGATTTTACGGGATGGATCCAGACAAACTTGAAAAGGCATCAATGACAGTGAAAAGATATTTATAAGATTTTTTCGTCGAAGGTCCGAGAAAGTCGCCATTTATACAGGGCTACAGGGATTTCATCATATAACAAAATTTTCATCTTGATTTCAATATCTAATCTTATGGTGTGTGTAAGAAATAACAACATATTGAATTTCCTCGCGAATTTCGGAGTTCAAGATGTGGGGAAGATGAAATGGAAAGGATTGATTGTCGGTAACATTAGCAAAGTTAACAAAATTCCATCATGATTACTGCTGCAGAAATGAATATTGTCTTTATCAAATGTAAATTGAGTTTGTTGCAAAACTTCAATTCCAATAATCGCATCAAGAGGAATCATGCCACCTTTTAGAACATGGATTTTAGCAGGTACAATAGTGTTTTGAATTTGAATGGAGTCCTGAAAGAATCCTATGTGTTTCGCCCAATTCCTGAGAACGCAATTCAGGAGGGATGAAATGGTGGAAAACCAATCTTGCGGTATGTTTTTTCATTAATAAACGTGGCTTGTGGCCCAGTGTCCCAAAGTGCGGTTACCGGCGTTCCTGCAAGTTGAATATTAATATGCATAGGATGTTCGAAAAACATTTGAGCAGAAAGTTCGTTTACAGTTCTATCAGGTGTAGAATGTTTAGGAACAGATTCAGTGGTAGAATTACGAGGATTTGTGGGACAGTTGGCATGAAAGTGACCATAATTTCTGCAACTTTAACAAAATTTTCCATTTGATTTATTTGTACAATTAACGCTTTTATGCCCTTTTAAACCACAAGCATAGCATACTGGTTGCATGTTTGATGCACGTTTATTATCAAGTTTAACATTGTGAAGGGAATTGTGAAATTTCTTTCTGAATATTTTGCCTCAAACGTGTTGAACTGCTAAAAGAGTTTTTCGTAAATTTTCAGTTTTTCTTTGAATTCAGGAATGAATTTACAGCCGTATGAAATTATTTTGTCGTTTAATGAATCAGGAATACTGTTTATAACATACTCAATCAGAGAAGAAACATCAGTAGAACCTTTATGCACGAGATCTCGTATGGCTAAAAATATTTTTTTAAAGTTTCGAATGGTTTCATACGACGAGATTCCGTTATTTGATGTAATTGAAGGCATAAATTTTATCCGAAATTACGCCTAACAAATGGTGTTTTAATTGTTTCCTATTAGTAATTCCAGGAATTTATCTTATTAAAGCTGGACCTGTTAGGCATTTTTAATGAAAATTTCTTGGTGAACAGGGTTCATTATCTGATAGAGATTAAAATGTCATCACTGTCTGAAATAAAATTTTCAATGTTGTAATTATCAAGAGAGGAAAAGGGTTTAATCAGGTAAACGATGTCTTTCAGACCAAAGCATTGAAAAGAAACATTCTAAGCTTCAGTTGTTATTAGCCGGAAGTAATAAATTTCGAGGCATGTTATCAAGACAGATTTTTCTTTTCCATTTACTTGCATAAAGATTCATCTGGTGTGTGAGTAATGCTCGCTTTTGCGAAGATATCCGTGGGGGTGAACATTCCACCAAACGTTCGTCATCAACATCACTAACGCCAGTCAGACAAATCTGATTTTAATAGTGAAGATTCGTAAGGATTGTGTTAGCCCACTTCTCAATATCAGTAGAAAATTCTTTGTATAGTAAATTACATATAGCAATTAGATCCTTGAATGAAATTTCTTTTATGATTTTTTGCTTTGTATCATCTAAGTTAAATGGTTTGGGAAATCCTGAAAATTTACGCAATCGAGAGCAAATTTGTCTATCGCCATCCGTGCCAAAAATTAAACGATGTTAAGAGCTTGAATTGTTGTGTACTGGCAATTTTTAATGATCGTGCAATGTGGGGATAATCATCAAGGGTGGCTATTGTTTATCAGACAAATTTTATCAGAGAAATTATCACACAAATATCCTTAAAGAAATGTTAATAACTATAATGCTAAAAAACACAAAAATTCGTACGTTCAAACAAATTCTAAAATATACCTTAAAAATAGAAAATAAAATTTCACTTCGAGATATTATATCAAAATAACTTTAAGTAACTTCAAATAACATTTTATAATGCTTTCGAAATAAATGCATCAAAAGAAATGAGTAAAACAGTTTGTTGGTTAAGAACAAAATTACTGAAGCTTGAAAGAATCGTTGAACTAGCAACTGTTTAAAATGTGCATTAAACAATTCTTCAAAATAATCCTCATTTCAAAATAATACTTTTGAAAACAATACTCTTCAATTAAACACTTTTCGTCAAAATTAAATATCTTTCGTTTATTCAATTAAACACCTTTCGTTCCCTTTTAATAGTGTTTCGTCATATCAACATCAACTGAGCATCATCAAATAAAGTTAGCATCAAATGACTGTAGTGTTTTTAAAAATGTTATTATTTCATCAAAGAGGCACAAGTGAGCATCATCAAATAAAATTATCATCAAACAATAGAGACATTTTCCCGAAATAATTCAAACGTTGTACTTACAGTCTCGATTCTCGATTCGTCACAGCAATGGCGGCAACTGCAGCATTTTGCTTGTGTGGTCGATGAGAGATATCAAATGATACTTTAATTATGGTATTCCACAGGACTTAGGGTTAATGAAGAGGGCTGAGCCCCCATGTAGGATATAGTTGTACTTACGAACTATAGGAACAGACCTATTAATGACAACGTAGTGGCATTTATTAATTTAATGACAAAAACACGCGAACATAATTAACACGTAGATAACACATAAAAAGAAATCAGAAGAAAAAAGGTCTGTCCGTGCCATCAGAAAAACGGAATAACATCATATTAAATGGAATCACATCATAAAAAGAATTCAGAGTTCTTTTGGTTTTTCAATCTTCATCCTCATTTCTCTAGCGTCTCGCTTGCCGAAAATGGTCACGCGATCTTGCTGGTGAGCGCGTTGTGATTATTACTTATAAAAAGAATCATACCGCCTCATATATAACCTGAAGTTTTAGTTGCAGTTTATGACGTTCGCTTTAAAACGGTTTGTTATGTGCAAGATGGAGATATGCTTTTCCCAAGTAGAACACACCTTTGTGATTGAGCATGACTCAGTAACATAGCCTTACAGAAAAGTTATTGAAAGGTTTACAAAGATCTTTCTCAAAAGTTCGTGAAGCTAACAAGACAACGATTTTCCGCCGAGTAATCTGATTTCTAGAAACTGGTAGCGTTTAAAGAAATGAAGTAAGCCTTCATCTCTCCTTAATTCTGGCAAAATGAATGAAGTCAGGACTAAAAAGTTAGAATCATCAGCAAATTATGGGAGAAAGATGGCATCACAATCAAATTTGTGAGTGGCGAAGTATTGCTCAATCATAAAAATTCGTTCTGCTTGGGTGCACCAAACAAACAGACTTTAATAGCATAAATTAAAATGGAAGTTTTAAGCGATACATTACTTGCAACAGGATAGGATAGGGGTGTCATATACAGAAGCAATTAGCCATCAGTGTGCTTATGGAATTTCAACAGTTTATAAATGTTTGATATGAGCGACTTTTAAATCAATCGGTATTTAAATTCAATTTCAGCAACCGTTCGTCCAACTAAAAGTATTTTAGGAAACAGTTCAGCCGAGCCCTTGTGAACCCACCGAATCTCAACCCTGGCTGTACATCTTTCGCAAAAGCAGAATGTCGAACAAAAATGAGCTTTTTGCTAGAAGCTAGAAATGTTTATAATATTTTACTCTATGCATATCTTTAAGCTTCTAAATTCCTGATGAATAATAAGATGCTTGTGAGTGCTAATGCAAAAGAAAAAAAAATTGGAAAGAAAATATAAGCTTACAACATCTTTTAAAGTGCGATTTGATGAGGTGAAATCCGGCCTTGCATGTAATCAAGTGCTGCGTCTCAAAAGTTACCATGTCAGCTTTCAGGTGGCTATTTTCGTTTTCGGACATACTCATTAGACTTGTTTCCAGATTTTTTTCGGCCTGAAATGAAATCTCATTGTTTGATAACACGTTTATAATAATTCGGTTCACAGAGAGAAGGAATTTGTTCCCTTCTTTCACAGGATTAAATATAGTTCGATGTTTATCAACTCATCAGTGCGTTCACTGCATAGCCGTAATACAGAAAGTGTTTGCACACGTTTTTAAAACGATTAAAGTATTAAATAATAACAAAAATATAGAAAGAAAATATCTGGCAATAGCGTATTATTTGAAATAAGAAATATGGCCTGTTACTTTTAAATTTATTCTTCTTTCAAAATGTTGCATATAAACAAGCTGCTGACGGGAGGAGTTAGGAGGATTAAGTTTTTGCGCTTTCCGAAAAGAAATATTCCTATTTCACAATTCGAAAAGGTTGTGAAATGCATGATATTAAAATTTCTAAGTAAGCAACATTATTAATGGGAAAGGGAAAAACCATTCTGCCATTACTTCTACATGGAAAGAAGATTCCGAAAAAGGCACGTACTGTCTCTAATATTTCTAAACTTAAACTGTTGATAACAGAAGAAAATCCTCCGATGCAGAAATAAATTGTAAAGTCTTTAAATACGCCTGTAGCAACAATAAAATGATAAACTAATATTACCTCTAAAAAAGCTAAAAAACACTATTCACCAGCTTTTGCCGAGATATGTCACTCAACGTAGAACAATTTGTAGAACCCTATATGAAAACCATTTTTAGGAGGAGATAAATGGAAATGCATTGTGACCCTGATGAAGCATGGGTTTACCCAAATGACTGAAAAAAAACAAGTCTGCTTATTATCGAAAATGAGGAGAAAAAATGTACAAATCTGATTCCGTCAATTCAAAGGAAGTTTTGGTAAAGAGTTTATGATTGTTCTCTTACAATTAAAAATATAAATCAGAAAAGTGGAAAAAATTTTAACAACTCGGTGTATCATCAAGAAAACATTTTATGCCCTATATTTACAGAAGAATTTCTATTTCTTCATCCCGACGATTTTCAAAGAGTGAAACTTCCTAAGACAAAGCAACAAATCTTACTACATTCCTTAAAAAAATATAAAGACTGATACAGTTGTGGCGTTCCGACAGATACTTCAACTTCTATTCATGAGATGGCGCCACGTGTAAAATCCAGTTCTTAATCGGAGCAGCAAAGCGACATCTTTACTCACTCAGACTTCTCGCTACACAACTGTACGCGAAGGTAGCACGAACTGTGTTCCGAGCTCTGTGTTGATCTCTGCAATGTAATTTAAATTGTAATTTAGTATTTAATATATTCTTTTGTTATAGGAGATTGTCTACTCTTATTTTCTTTAATTATATCATGCATTAAGCACGCACGACCACCAAAAGTGGTGACCTTTTGACTGAGCACGCTACTGAGAATGGATTTTCAACGACCCTAAGCCACGTGCATCCAAGGCATTCTGAAGAACTGACTAAAAATAACAACGAATATGGACATTGAACGTATGCTACAACGTACCCCTGCAATTATTTCTAGAAGTATTGATATATATTGCTTGTGTTTTTTCAAAGTCGTGCATATCATCGCAAGGAGCTTCAGCAAATCATCAATGTGATCTGTTCCGTTCCGCTGACTTCGCCAGTCGTGCAATAATTCTTCGATCATTCAACGACAAATGTGCTACAACAGTGATTTTCGCTAAATGTGCTACATCAGTAATTTTTCTGCAACGTGCTACGGCAAAATTCTTCCCTCAGTGTTCGAAAGTAGTGAATTTCTTTCCCACGTGCTACAGGAGTGATTTCCTTTTTCCTTCGAAAGTGCCTTAGCAGTGTGAAGTGGTGATTTTGTGCGTGCGCAATACAAAATTAACGCATCATTTTTTCTCAAATAGGGGTTTCTTTTCAAATGCATTTCGGTAAAATATTATTTGTGTGTGTAATTGCTGACCCTGTATTATTTGTGTGTGTATCGTTACGTAAATTTTTTCTGCATGGTTAAAATATTTATTGTTATCATGGCAAAATATCAATAGTATCATCTTGCTACAATATTTGTGCTGTTAAGTGTTTATTAATTAAAGTGAAAATTATCTATCAGTATGCCCGACGATATTCCACCAGAGCCACAAATCACACGCGTTGCGGTGAAGCCACCGCCTTTCTGGAAAAAATAATCCTTCATTGTGGTTCGCTCAGATCGAAGCACAATTTTCTATCGCTCGCATTAGTGAGGATTCTACAAAATTCAACCATGTAGTTGCAGCAATTGAGTCTGATATTCTGAATTCAGTGCATGACTTAATTCTCAAACCACCTGATTGTGATAAATACTCCAAACTGAAACAGCGGCTCATTGAAATCTATTCAGAAAGTGAATCTTCAAAAATACGTACTTTACTACAAGGACTTGAACTTGGAGATCAGCGACCTTCATACTTGCTGTCACGAATGCGTGATCTGGCAGGAAGCCATTTCAGTGACGACTTGTTGAAGTCACTATAGCTTTCGCGTCTCCCTAATAACATACAAATAATTCTTTCTGCTTCCAATGAAGATCTAACCTGTTTAGCAGCAATGGCTGACAAAATTAATGAACTTGTTACTCCAGCTTATGTCAGTGCTGCTAATGCTGCACCTTCCAGTTCATCCCTCGAACAACAAGTGGCTGAATTGACCAAAAAAGTATCTGAACTCTCTACAAGTCTTCATGCTTCACGGAGATACAAGCGATCAAATCAGGGCCCACGTAATAAATTTCGTGCCCGAAGCAGGAGTCAATCTCGTCACAATACTCGAACGCAGTACAAAGAGCCCACAAGTGGCATATGTTTTTATCATATGAATTTTGAGGCGCAAGCTCGCAAGTGTGCCCCTCCATGCACTTTTGTACAAGCGGGAAACTAAATGGGCGGTCTTCTGCTGGCCAACATAATGTCCGCCACATCCACAGAATAGTACTGGCTGATCGTTCAACTCAGTTATGTTTTCTAGTAGATACTGGAGCTGACATATCAGTGCTCCCGAGAACTAAAACAAATGCTCACCAACTTAATAAACTTGTACTGTATGCAGCCAATGGTACCCAAATTGCAACCTACGGCACCAAACTATTGACACTTGATTTAAACTTGCGCCGGACTTTCAACTGGCCTTTTATTATTGCGGATGTAACTCAAGCAATTATTGGTTTCGACTTCTTGACACATTTCCACCTTCTAGTGGATGTCAAGAATAATTGCTTAATTGATGCTACAACTCAGCTGACATCACAGGGCCAAGCTTCTCACATATCGAACGTACCTACCAACATAAGTGTTGTATCGGGCAGCACACGGTTTCATCGGTTATTAGCAGAATTCCCTGACATTTTAAACCCATCCAAATCAGGGCAGCATACTCATCAGCCAGAAGTGTATCATCACATTGAAACACATGGCCCACCTGTATTTTCCAAGCCTCGTCGTCTTTCTCCAGAGATGCTAAAAGCTGCTCGCAAAGAATTTGAATTCATGCTAGCACAGGGAACCATTCGCCCATCTAAAAGTCCATGGGCCAGTCCACTTCACATGGTTAAAAAGTCTAATGGTGACTGGCGGCCTTGTGGAGATTATCGTCGACTTAATGCCGTCACAGTCCCTGACAGATATCCAGTCCCAACTATCCAAGACTGTACCCATCTTTTTCATGGAACAAACATATTTTCTACCCTCGATCTTGCCAGAGCATATCATCAGATCCCAGTGCATGCTGAAGATGTGCCCAAGACCGCAGTGACTACACCATTTGGCCTCTTTTAGTACTTATATATGCCATTTGGCCTGCGCAATGCTGGCCAAACATTTCAGCGTTTCATACACCAAGTACTGTCTGGCCTCGATTTCTGCATTCCATATTTTGATGATATCCTGGTTGCATCTACAGATGCGGAAGAACATTTTCAACATCTGCGTCAGATTTTCACTCGCCTTAAAGATCATGGATTAAAACTAAATCCATCCAAATGTGTACTTGGTCAAGCCCTCAGTTTCCTTTCTTGGATGTCTTCATCACCCAGAATGGAGTAAAACCTTTACCTGAAAGAGTCAAAGCAATTAACGACCTACCTCAAGCCCAAAAAACCATCTCTGAACTGAAGCATTTCCTAGCAATGTTAAATTTCTACCGACGCTTTCTGCCAAATGCTGCAAAAACACAAGCCTGCCTGCATGAGTTTCTGAAGAATAGCAAAAAAAATGATCAACGAGCTGTCCCTTGGACTGAATCTGCATCTGCAGCATTTCGTGCAATGCAAAACACGATCTGGCAAATGCAGCCACACTTTCTTATCACTCACCTAGTGATCAGCTCTCTATAATGGTAGAAGATGCATCTGACACACGGCCATAGGAGCAGTGCTTCAAGCCCATACCACTAAAGGACTTTCCCCAATGGCATTCTTCTCCAGAAAACTTACTACTGCAGAAAGGAAATACAGCACATATGACAGGGAGCTACTTGCTGTGTACTGTGCTGTTAAATACTTCCGGCACAACTTGGAAGGACACGACTTCATCATTTTCACTGATCATCGACCATTAACCGTCGCTTTTAGAAAAAACTCTGACTCATGTTCTCCTCGTCAGCTTCGACATCTGGATTTCATCGCCCAGTTTAGTACAGATATCAGATATGTCTCTGGTACTGATAATTGTGTCGCTGATGCCTTGTCTCGGGTAAACAATATCAACCTCACTACCCCAGATTTCTCTGAAATTGCAAAAGCTCAATCGCATGATGAGGAACTCAAAAACCTAATCTCAAATCCACAAACCTCCCTTCAGTTACAACCGCTGCACATTGATCCAACGCTTAAAATTTACTGTGACATAGAGAACAATAGAATACGTCCCTATATTCCTGTCAATTTTAGACGTGAAGTGTTTAATGCCTTGCACAATTTGGCACATCCTGGAATCCGTGCCACCAAAAAGCTGATCACAGACAGATTTGTCTGGCCAGCGATGAATCAAGACATCACAGAATGGACTC